CGTTCACAACCAGAGCCGGGCCACTGATGAAAACCAAAACTACAACCCTGAAAAAACGAATCGATATTTTCGAAGGCGAACACAACCTATTCTTGCTAGTGATTCTGTCCAATTGTTAGGTATCCAAATTATAGTCATTCGTAAACTTATTATTGAATATATGGATGAATTACACTATACACTAGTTTACAGCATTTTTTGAACTCGGTAAGGTGATGATCATTTCCAATGCAAAATCCTACGCTGAATTCAATGCCGTGGTCAGAAAAAATTAAAGTAGAGCCATTTTTGAGATATACAAAAATTTTGATTTTTTGAATTTTGGACAAAAGTACGATTACTAAAATGTCAATATCTTTGGAACTAGTGCACCAAGTTTAAATCTTTTTTTATGAACATGAAGCTAAATAAATTTGCTATCGTTCACTAGAATATTATGTCTTAATTAAAAATTTAATTTTGAAGTCATTTAAAAATTTACAGCATTTTTTTTTATTTTTCCTGCGAATTTTCCATAAAAATCTTGTTTTAATCAACATTTTTAATGGGATAAAAAGATTCAAAAAATCATTCCATAATTTATTCTTAAAGTCCATTCAAAACCGGAGAAAATGAGCCTTTAATGGATGAAATCGGTTGGAAATTGTCGAAGTTATGAGCATTTTTGTAAAACACTTAAAAATGTTGCTGAAATACAACAGCTTTATACCCCGTTCACATTACAGTCTATATTACGTAATATAGGCTGTCTTGCAATGAGCACTCATACATAGGATTTCCAGTGAAAACTAGATGTATGAGTGCTCATTGCAAGACACCGTATATCACGTGATATACGCTGTAATGTGAACGGGGTATTAGAGTTCCTTTTCTAGGTGTCGTTGTAAGCATCCAAATCGCATGTAAAGATTTCATGGGAGATTCTTTTCTCTACATATCAATTTGATTAAGGCATATCAGGATTTAAAACCGAGTTGATACAAAAGAAATTTATTTAGGTTTTATTAAAAATTATTGAGAATCGAATGACTTTGTCTTCGATGTTTTGAACTTGTTTCTCGAATCAGAAACCAACAATAGTCACCCATCATTGCTTCATCCCAAAACCCTTGGTAACGACGTTCCATCATCTTCATTTGTTGGTGAAAACGTTCGCCGTACTCATCACTCTCGTCACCAAGATTTTCCGGGAAAAAATCCATGTGAGAATGTAGGAAATGTATCTTCACAGACATATTCACACCTGTGTTCAGTGAAATAAAAGGATTTGAAATTAATTATATGTAATAAACACAATATTTTTGATTTATACCTGTGTGACGATTCCTGTGACAAGAAATTTTGACCTCCTTGCTCAGCATGTTGTGTTCTTTCAAGCGTGATACCAGCAATTCGGATTTCTCCTTCGATAAGTCGAGATCTCGCACCAAATCATTAAATTCGGATTGTGTAAACAGTTTTGGGTTTCTTTCCAATTCCACCTCGAAGTCTTCCTCGCATTCCTCCTTGAATTCCTCCTCACTTTTTGTAACGGTCGATTCAACAGAGGGCGCTGGTTTCCGCTTTGGATAAACAGGATACGGGACCGAACTTGAATGTGGAACAGGTTTTGTCATAGAAGCCACTTGTGGATACTCAACTGTTTTGTGACGTCCTTGTTGCTTAACTTTTGTCAAGCAGAAATAACAATCCGTTGCATGACAAAACGGTCGACGCCATATGGTGGGCATGTCAAAGGACAAATAGCGACTGACAGATAACAAATAAGTGAGTTAGTAAGTAAGACATTAACACTTATCAAAAATAGATGAAGTAAGATAATGTCGATCAGGAAAGAACAAAGCACTACCATGCTGTACATAAATTGTTTATATGAAAGTTATTCAAAAAATCAATTTACCTTGCGCCTGACATCCACCTAGCCAAGCACGTTTTGCACGAACTACATAATACTTTTGGAATCCACGGTTCGTCAAAGTCTCCAGGATCAATTTTAAAATAAAGCCTGTATGCAGTTTGCAACGAAGCAGTGAAATTGACCGATTTTGTAAATATATAGTTGCCACACGCGTAACAAAACTTTTGAGGATCATTTTTACACTTGAATTCACGTTTTGTCGTATACATCGTTAAGCAATGTTAAAGAAAGAAAGCTGTCAAATTGAGTTGGTTGCGTTAGGTTCTCGCCGAGCGGTCTCACAAACACTAGCGTAAATTATATTGTTGAAAATATCCCATTTAATTTTGCGTGACAGCTGGTAGTGTTAGTGAAATGCACCGTATGCGTACACGTCCGCAGAAAGGCTTACTGGAAGTGGTGCATGAACCTAGGAGCGGGACAACGGCCAATCTTGGAACATTCAATTTCCTTGATTTTACAAAAAATTTCATAACTTCGACAATTTCCAACCGATTTCATCCATTAAAGGCTCATTTTCTCCAGTTTTTAATAGACTTTAAGAATAAATTATGGAATGATTTTTTTAATCTTTTTATCCCATTAAAAATGTTGATTAAAACAAGATTTTTATGGAAAATTCGCAGGAAAAATTAAAAAAAAAATGCTGTAAATTTTTAAATGACTTCAAAATTAAATTTTTAATTAAGACATAATATTCTAGTGAACAATAGCAAATTTATTTAGCTTCACTTTCATAAAAAAGATTTAAAATTGGTGCACTAGTTCCAAAGTTATTGACATTTTAGTAATCGTACTTTTGTCCAAAATTCAAAAAATCAAAATTTTTGTATATCTCAAAAATGGTTCTACTTTAATTTTTTCTGACCACGGCATTGAATTCAGCGTAGGATTTTGCATTAGAAACGTTGGTCAACCACTAAAGTTCACACTTTTTATGTTGTTTTGTAAACTAGTGTTATTGAATAACTATTATTTACGATAATTACATGAAAGAAATAACATATAAACTACAAACAAAACGTGACTACTAAAATCTCAAAAAGATATTCTCACAAGTATATTTCACGCAACCAGGAATCTCAAAACCATTAGACGCTATAATGATACTCTACACATGTTAGACACAAGAAAAGGCCAAAAAGCAAGCGTCCGACACACAAAACCCGCCAAATCCACTGGCAGTCACGCCGGCGCCGGTGGTGTAGTGGTAAGCGTGACTGCTTTCTAACACCCCAATGGGTCTGGGTTCAATCCCAGCCGAGGTCGGTGGGATTTTTCTGAGGCATAAAAATCTCTGGTCACGTCTTCCTTCGGAAGGGAAGTAAAGCCGTTGGTCCCGGCCCATGTGTGTTGTTGTGAATGGGTGCGATATCCTACGCAGGTGTGGAAGCTGCCTTCCTTGCACATTCGATTGCCGTCAATGGATGGCAATCGATGTCCGTCGGTGATTGGCACTAGATTGCGGAACAGAGACCGACGTTAAATAAAGAAAAAGAAGACTGGCAGTCACAATCAACGAATCTACGAATCGCGAGCGCTCACGAATCATAAAACCGCTGACTGCGACACTCTAAAAGCGAAATTGACAGGCCCTATGCGTCAAACACCCGCCCTCCAATCTCCTCCCGCATCCAACAACACAAACCTCCATTACAACATCTAACGAATTCAAAACTCCGAAAATCACTCATCTATAGAAAGTGAGTGGAAGCAACCCTGCATGCAACTATTCTTCATGATACGCTTTGTCTGTCTATCTTTCTATTAGGCCTGTGGACATGTGTTAGCTTCGAAACTTCTAACCAAACTAGGAAAATTTTGAAATCACAAAAAAAAAAAAATTCAAAGGTAATTACAAGCAAAATACATATTGAATATTTTACGCAAAACCGAGAAAGTAAAATTAAATCTCTTGTATTGTATGCTAATGCTAATTGACTGTAACAAAAATAATATGCTTAAATAAAATAAAATATGAATAAAATGATATGCAAAATTTACTAGAAGGTCATTACTTTATTGGTGAGAAGTTTCTAATAAGCCCTCCCAGTTCCTCTGTATACAGAACAAATCTGATACTATAATCAGAATTGCTCAGTCTGCATGAAGCAGCCGATTGCATCAAGGAAGTTCTATTAACAACCAAGAATTAATCGTTTGAGGTATACTGAAGCATTAAGAAGGTGATATGTGTCACTATGGGAAATCATCATCGTTGCAAATATAAAGAAATTAAACATGACCCTTTGCTTCAGTACCGTCAACCTCCATGTCCATGGGGAGGGTAAAAGATTTGTGCAGAATTTCATAACAAAAGTTTACAATTGTTAGTTTTTTTTTCATCTAACTAATTCATTACATTGCATAAAAAATAGTTTTAATGGACCTCTTTTGAATGTACATATAAGCCATACGGGGTATGGTAACACTCAGTGGCAACACCTCATACTGTGGGTAACCCAAAACGTATGATCGATGATTTAAATCAGTATTTTATTTATTTAGTATATTTTCTAAATTTTTCGACCAGGTTTTCACTGAAGTTCCTGGATGGGTATAGAATAAGGGTTCTACTATCACTTTCATTTCAAAATTTGGCCCACCCAATTCTGAGAAAAGCAGTCATGATTAAACAGTATGAGTTTTAGGAAATGCTGTAACTTTAGGTGAAGTTTTAGTGTACAGACATCTATATAACTCGCGGTGTCTCTAGTAGAATTGGCGTTGACGGTGACTCTTCAGCCCTTTACTACCGTGGTAAAATCCATAGGCAAACGTTAGACTGTGTGTGAAACATGGTGGACTTCCTACTATTCTTACACTCCACCGAAAAGTCCCCTAAGAAACTGTCATTCTTTGCTTGAACAGATGATTTTTCGACGGTGCCGTCAATGGTAATAACATTACTATAAAAAAAAATAAGTATCGCTTAAACACCCACCAAAGGCTGGTTAAATGTTTTTGGAATCAATTTGTCGATGCGTTTTGCTTTTCTACTTGGAGATTGCATTTTTATTTCATATCAGGTTAAACAACCAGTATACACGATCCATTGCTTATCTTAAATACGTTTCACGTGTTATTACAAAAGATTACAATCTATTCGTTAAAAGGTAGTCACCTTCATCCGTGACTTTCGTGAGCCGCGTTTCAAAAAACTCCTGTACGGTATCGGTGTTCCATTTGGTAATTGACAGTGTTTCCTTTACATTTCCAGCCTCGTCCATCAGCTTCACTATAGGATCTAAACCGCGAACGTATTTTATCGTTAGGTTTGGGAACTTTTGAGGGCGGTCGCTTTTTATAAAGGCCTGAATCTGGGGATAGGCGCCGAATTTGCAGGTACACACTTCTAGCACCGCCTTGGGATAAACCATAAGCTTGCCGGTGCTCTCTGCATCCTTCTGGCAACACTCCAGACAGTGATCCCTAGAATAATAACGTAGATTTAGCCAACGTGTATATCCTCTTCCAGTCAGAGAACCGCATACTTTAACTCATCCAGGCCATATTCGCCTAATGTATTGCAGGACGAGCAAAACAGCTGGGACTTGATAAAGCCTAGATCGCGACAGTCTTTTGCGGTAAATTCGGCACTTGTTTTCTGGTGGGAAATTCAAACGTCGTTATAGAATATATTTTAATAGTAAAATAACTCACTTGGAATGCTAAAATTAGTAGAGGTAAGAGGGTTACAAGTCTATACATATTTAATGGATGCTTTTTTTTTTAATCTCCAAGTAGATTACGAATGTTAAACTCAAAACGCACAACACTCAAGCCACTTCACAAGATCGCAGAGGCAGGGCAGAAGACCACGTATTTTTGTTTTGACATTTTGCAATTATTGCCCGCCTAATTTGTGCTTATCACGTTATTTAAAAACTACCCAAAATTGGGAAGAATCCACCCAAATGGGTCTAAACTGATCCCTACCCAAAAATGGGTAAATTATAATATATTTTTTTTGCTCTAAACAGCAAAAAATAAAATTGTAACATCGATCAACGTAATTCAAGCTGATGAATGAAATAATGATGTAATAGCAAAAAGCAGATACAATATTATGTGATACTAGCTGAGTGTGCCCGGTCTTGCTCGGGATTCAATATTAGCTTGAGTTTATGCGCCGATTTAAAAAAAAAAAACATGCTATATTGTACGTAGCCCCCCCCCCCCCTATTATCTAAGCGGCTACCCCCTATGATTATCTCCTTATACCCCCACACTCGCCCCCACATGCCTAATTTGCTTCCATTTGCTTGATTAGTTCTCGAGTTATGCAGAAATGTCTGTTTCATTTGTATGGGACCCCCCCCCCCCCTTACAGAAGGGGGAGGGGTCTCGAACCATCATAAGAACCTTCCACGGTCCCAAAAACCCCTGTATACAAATTTTCATGCCAATCGGTTCAGTAGTTTCCGAGTCTATAAGGGTCAGACAGACAGACAGACAGAAATTCATTTTTATATATATAAATATATATAAATTATAGCAATGGATGTAATTTTGTTCGCAAAATCGGTGGAAACTAATACCAACAATCAATATGAAACTATCGATTTGAAATTGGCTCTCTACTTGACTAGCCTATTTGTCCCAAGCAAACGATTAACGTACCCCATTCTAGTCGAAATTCTAGTACTACGCAATGTTGATAAAATAAGGGGTTATTGATTTTTCCTATGTTTCGAGGGGTGAATCGATTAGCTTGGGACCGAAGAGAGTACCAGAGCTGAGCCAAAAAGTTGAGCACGTTATTTCGGGACCTTTTAGTCTCATTTCAAAGATTGTTTTTATGTGTCCCACACATGAGTTTTGCAATGCGATCGTTAATTAAATTGAAAAAACCATTGGTATAATTAAAAGTTTGCGTTGGTTCTTTTTGGTAGAAAGTCTTTAGCATTCAAAACAAAAGTCAGCCAACTTTCAATTCAAAAGTAACTCGTTTTTTACTTTTAAAAGACGGAGACGAGCCACCCTAATAAAAATGGTATGGTTAATTTGCTTAACGACGTGTTCTGGGTATCATCCAAACCATTTGTGGAATAGTTCAATGATTTGGGTTATCGTTCGTTTATGGTTATTTTTTATTAGGGCAGCCAACGGCTGAAAGTCTCCTTAATAAAGATATAAAAAAAAAAAAAACTTTTAAAAGTATAAACTTTCAAATCGAATTGTAGAACTGTCAATATAAAACCCATGATTTTTAAATAGACTCACGAAACGACTTAATTTAAAAGATGGGCATTTTTATCGCAACGATGTATGTTTTCATCTCAAATATGAATTATTTTTAATTTGACTGCTATATGCTTTGAAAAAAAAAATAACAATAGAAATATTTTATTTAATATATTTTCGCTTATTTATATATTTCGATATTTTTGATGATGACTGAAAGGGCACTGCATTGTGGAATCATGGGAAGCATTTTACGCAAATTATACAGTTGGTGATGGTGATGGTGGGAGCTAATCCTTTCCAGCAAGACTGCTCAAAACACATAAATTAGTAAAATCGGAAACAAGATCGAAAGTATTCGAAAATTTCATCAACCTACCTCCAAATCCCGTAACTGGAATATCCTTCCGATCCTTCTACCCGATAGCGTCAGAAGAGAAACAAGTGCGCCGGCGGATGAAAATGTGGGAAACTTGAAGAAACTGCTGCTGCTCATTAGAGTGATGCAAATTTTTAAATTTTCGCTCCACAATACTTAAACGATTCCAAATCGGATCCTGACTAACCTCTCAAAATTTGAACCCATTTGGTGAGAAACTGAGATGGCACAAACCATTTGAAATTTGTATGGGAATTACTATAGTAAAACCAAGATTTTTGTTCATGTCTATCTAATAATTCACCATATCGGTCTGCTTCAAAAGCTTTCAACTTTACTTGAAGAAAATTTTCCCAGCTACAACTTTGCTCAAGACCACTTTTTGATTAAATGCAAGGATCGAAAGTTATTAATGGTTCAATGCACTAATGCCTTATGATCATGCTCAATCAACTGCACAGCAGGCAACATTGGTGTTTCTGGGGCGTTGAATAGGACACAAAAATTATGGCTACTATGTCACACTGCAAAATACAGTGTTGCCTACAGAGCAGCTGCTTGATCATGTCATAAGTTTACCAATCTCTTAAATAATTAATAACTATTTCCTGTCTCGTTTTACATAGAAACGATCTTCAGCAAAGTTGTAGCTGAGAAAAATTTCTATAAGAATAGCTATCGAGTTGTTTTGCAGCTCAATATGGAAAAAGACTAGAAGGCAATGAACAAAAAGTTGAGATTTCCCATAGTAATTTACATGTAAACTTCAAATGGTTTGTGCGAAGTCTGTTTCTAACCAAATGAGTTGTAACTTTTGGAGGCTAATCACGACCCGATTTGAAACCATTTAAGCACTGTGGAGCGAAAAAGTCAAATTTTGCATCAGTCTACTGCTCATGTTAGCTGCTGGTTTCGTTTTTTTTTCACATCTAGATAGAGCAGCAATTAGGGCGTAACAGCTTTTGTAAACAATGACTTCTATCGATGATTTCTAGGAATTCAAGGAACGTCTACGCAGACCAACCTAACCATCGGATAGTGGAAGTCTTTCCCTACCCGATGAGGATGTTGGTTTGCGTGGGCGAGCCTTAAATTTCTAGAAATCATCAAGAGAAGTCATTGTTTACAAAAGCTGTTAGGCCCTCATTCCAGCTCTATCTAGACATGTCCAATTTGGCGGGAAACGGTGATCCAGTACTGTCAAAAACTTTGCAATGAAGAGGTTTTTGACAGTTTTTCGACATTTATTCTAAAAAATACACTTTTAAAATTACAAGCTGAAAGTGAAAGAAACACTTTTAAACCAAAAAAATATGTTTTATTTTGAAAATGTTCATAGTTAAAACTACGAAATTTGGGAAACTTTTAATTTGATCATGCATTATTTTTATAGCAACAATTTTTGTTCTATGTGTGTATCTATGTGTCCGAAACATTATTAATATGTATACATATAAAAGCCTTGTGTGATCACACATGCTATTTATTTGACACATAAATTTCATGTGTACTTCTGAGTGGATTCTGTGTATGTGTGGTCACATGAAAATCATGTGGAATTTCACATGGAAATTCGTCAATAAAAATGTGTGGAATTTTCTGGGTGAACGATTTTAAATTGGCTCACTACTTGACTAGATTATCAGCAATTTTTACCGTTATCTAGGTATTCTTTACCGACTTTGAGGTATGTGCATCTTAGCGTGTGAGTTACTTTCGACATGCGTGAAGATGTTTCGCGGGATAAAGGCGGGTTCGTTTAGTTTGTAAATAAACATCTCGTGTAACTCCAGTGAAGATAAAACTTTTCTGATACTTTTTTTATAATGTTAATGCGAATATTAAGTTTATCGCTTCGAAAAATAGTACTTCCTACATATTCATTGAATTCTTCTAGATGTTTTCCTCTGCAACTATGGTAAGTTATAATGTTCTTGACAAACACTCCACAATATGTACATCATCTTACATCACAAAGTGTTCGACCAATTTCGACAAGCATTCCTTTGTTAAATGGCCCGCGAACCATGAAGGAAGAACGTTATCGCAAAAAAGATAAAGTTCCGGAAGAATACCGAATCATCTACCGAGCACCCATGGAGTACTATCTATCCGGTAAGTGAAATAAAATTTTCATAAGTTTTACTTACGTATTTCGCCGGTACACACATGCATGAGAATCGAGATCGAAAAGCGCCTCGGACTTGAAGTGGTCGGTTGTTGAAGCTGATTGACATTTCTCTTATGCAAACATTACAAAACATTAACTTTCAAAGTGCGAACGAAATCCAAGTGTCGGAATATTTTTGTGTTATTCGGCTCCTAACCAGACAAGTAAAATGTTGCTCAAGGGTGGCTTTTGCAGGCAGCTGTTGTCAGGTAATTAAATATTATGTTATTAATTATTAATACGCGTAATAACATTGTATTCTTGGAGGTTTTCTGAAACCCGGACATAACCAACAAATCGCCACCCTGAAGTGCTTTGCGCCGCCTATTGAATACAAAAGTAAGTGGTGTGACCTAAGCCAGAGTATGCACTTGATTACAACTAACTTTGTTTTTCAGATGTTGTTATACCGGATAGGCCAAAACTTCGGTTCATGGACAAAGTACCAATCCTGCCAACGAACATGAAAGCACCAAAGATGCAGAAAAAACTGAAATTCATGCGTGGTCCGGAAACGGTACACAATACGTTGCTCTACAAGCAGTATGGAATTGTGGCCACTGGCGGAGGCCGCTTGCGGTGGGGTCATTTCGAAATGATGCGTTTGGGTATAGGCCGAAAGATGGATGTTAATCGAATGTTTGTTATCTGGCGTGTGGATGCTCCGTGGCAGCCGATTTCCAAAAAGGGACAAGGACAACGAATGGGTGGAGGAAAGTCGGCCATCGATCACTATGTAACTCCCATCAAGAGCGGACGGGTGATCGTTGAGATGGCTGGAAAGTGCGAATTTGCCGAGGTGAAACCGATTTTGGAAACAGTTTGCCACAAGCTGCCCTTCAAAGCTATGGTGGTATCGCAGGAAACTTTAGAAGAAATGCAAGCGGGTCAGGAACGGCTGGATCAGGAGAACCTCAATCCCTATACATTCAAGTACATCATCCAAAACAATTTGGGAGGTTGTCATAGATGGCTAGCGCCAGTAGATCACAAATGGTTTGGAAAATACCACTAAATGTTGCAAATAAAATAGTCAAACCTCAATTTGAAAGCATTTATCTTTAAAACTTATTCAAAATTTTGTTTTGCCAATTCTGGATTGAATTGCGAGTTATACTTTTGCTTGACTATCGGTGCAGCAACCACTTGTGGTTGCTTTGGAAGTTTCGGATCAACATCGCCTCGTAATTTTGCGAGCATTTTTTCTGTTCGTTCTTTTTCCTCCTGCTCTCGAGCCAACCTTTCCTTCCGTAAAAGGTTCAATTTTAGCTTCTTTGCTCTTCTTGCTTCCTCGTCCGTGGATTCCGCATCCGAACTGGCCGACTTCTTCCGTTTCTTGCGCTTCCTTTTTTCTTTCTTATGCTTCTTGTGTTGATGTTTCTTGCTTTTCTTTCGTTTTGGTTCATTATCAGAATAACTTGCGCTTCTTTTCCTTTTGGAACTTTCCTTGGATTTACCCGTTAAGGATTGATATGCATATTTGCTTGAGGAAGTTTCCGCAACATCTTGTTGCTCTTTACTTTTTTCCTCTGACTTTGGAATAGATGGAAGCGACTTAGTTCGCATGTCTGGTAAATATCGACGCATTACATTCAGTGGATCATTGTACTCTTTCGATTTTAACCCTACTTCGATCCGTTTCCCGTCTTTATCTGGTTCATCGTCCCTTTTTGGAGCAACGTCATACCAATCTCTTTTTCCCAATACTTCGTTCGTATCCTGACCCAGATAAGTCAAATACCCAATCTGTTTCTCGTACTTTTCCTGCTCCTCCTTTTTCTCCTTCTCGTGTTCGACATTTTTACGCTTTACACCATCGTCCTTGCCACTTTCCAAGTCTTCGAAAAAGTTAACGTGCTGTTTTTGTTCCAGGCGTCTATCGATCTCAATTGATCTTGATTCTCCGGAATCTACTTGTCCGGTTCTGACTTTCTGGCGAAGGAAATCGATTTTAGCCTCTTGGTCGGCCAGGGCTATCCTACGCTGGCGTTCCTTCTCCTCTTCAGCTGCCTTGGCTTCATCGCGACGAACCCGAGCAATGTTGTCCTTGTTGCGGACATGCCAGCTGTAAGTCAAATATAAATACAATGGTCGCCACTTATAAAAAGATTGATCTTTACCTCTTTTTCGGCAAAATATTCATCTTTAAGCCTAGAGTTTTACCCGTCACAAGTTGCTAGCTAATTTGTTGATAAGTTTTTGGTAAATTTTGTTGCTTTGTTGTTTTCTTCAATCTGTCATTATATTTATGTCATATTCCATTCCGTGTTTGTCGGAGTAGAATTAGGCCGATATTCAATACACAAAAGTAAAGCCCTACAAAAGTAATGATTATTTTTATGTGTTTCACTCATGAATTATTGCAATGTGATAAACAAATTATATTGGCGTTGACGGCACCGTCGAAAAATTTTCTCTTCCAGCAAGTATCGACAGTGTCTTATGGGAATTTTCGGTGGAGCGAAAGGATAGTACAAAGTCCGCCATAGACCTGTGCAAGGGTGAACTTTAGTTCATCTACTGAAAAAAATTAACACAACACCCTGTTTGCTAAAAATGAACACATGAATAATGCTCGCGTAACATTTGAAAAGGGCCTATCAAATTTTGTAAATAATTTGCTAGGTCCTTTTCACGAGAACCGAAGTACGCCCACGCAAACCAAGAGCACTATCGGGAAGGGGAGAATTTCCTCTGCTCGATGGTGTTGTTAGTTTGCGTGAGCGTATTCGGTTCGCGCGAAAAAGGCTTAACAAGTTTTGTGTACATAAGTTTATAGACCTGTTTCAAATGTTACGTGAGTATTATTCATGTGTTCATTTTTAGTAAACAGGGCCCCGCTGTTGTGTCACTTTTTGTCGAGTGAGTGAACTCTAATCGATCCGTCGTGAGCTCGTCTATGTTTCACGCAAGGGGGGGGGGGGAGGTGCCTGTCAAATACGAACAATCGTCGCCTACCTCGCATAACTGGTTCCAAACGTAAACAACCCTAATAAATTTGTTATGGTTATTTTGCTTAACGACGTGTTTGGGGTATCATCCAAACCATTTGTGGAAAAGTTCGACTATTCGGGTCATTGTTCGTTTATGGTATTTGTTTATTAGGGAAGCCACAAGAAACCTACAGCGTTTGTTTACGTTTGGAACCAGTTATGCGAGGTAGGCGACGATAGACCAATAGACTGAGTGAATTCAATCTTTACTTTTCTCAAATTCGGGAATTTTTCCCTGGAAAATCCTGGAAAAACCTGGGAAAACATGAGACAAATTTTACTCACCGCTGAGTTCCTGGTTTTTTGGCGATTATGAGTGAACTAAACTCAAATTTGGGTCGTTCTCATTCGCCGTGAGAATTAAATTATTCCCATTTTGCTTGAAATTTAATCAATTTGACATTAAACTCAGTTTAATCAACAATCAATTCGAAACTAACGATTTTAAATTGGCTCACTACTTGACTAGCCTATTGGTCCCAGGCAAACCATTAACGTACTCCATTGTAGTCGAGATTCTAGTACTACACTATGTTTGTTTTGATTCGCTATGCATGTTTGACAGATAAAATGAGGGGTTCGTGGATTTTCGTATGTTTCGAGGGGTGCATCGATTAGCTTGGGACCGAAGATAGTACCAGAGCTGAGCCAAAAAGTTGAGCTCGTTTCTTCGGGACCTTCTGGTCTTAGAGTTTTTCTTTTTCTATTTTTCTAAAATTTCTAATTCTAATTTAATAGTTTTTGATTGAATTTTAATCTTTTACCCTTCTTACAAAGAAGGGTATAGATATCACTTGAAAAACCGACTATCGATCCGAGGCCCGGAGGGCCGAGTGTCATATACCATTCGACTCAGCTCGACGAGATCGGAACATGTCTGTGTGTGTGTGTGTATGTGTGTATGTGTGTATGTGTGTGTGTATGTAACGAAATGAATGCGCTCACGTTTCTCAGCAACCGCTCAACCGATTTGGACAAACTCGGTGCCAAATGATAGGTCTTGGGGTCCCATTGAACGCTATTGAACGGTTTTGGAATCGGTGAACCGGTTCCGGAGATATGGCCGGAATAAGATCCGGTGAATATGGGCCTTCACGCTGGATTTAACGGAAAACGTATTAAAACCATCATGCGACACATCAAATTACTACAGAATTCAAAAATAAGATCAATGCAAGTCGTGTTAAGTGTTCCAGACCACATTGGACACACTTGGACATGTTCCGGGTACCCCGGGGAAGTTGCTTGAATATGAATTGAATTAAAACCCATTAAATCACATTAAAATACGATGATAAGGTGATTGGTAGCCTCACCAAATAGACTACACCCGGATATATTCCGGGTACCCCCAGGCAGTGGCGTAGCGTCACTGGATGACACGGGGGTGGGGGGCTTGGTCACTGATAATGACAATAAAATAAATAAACTTGAATAAGTAAGAAGGGTCTGATCACACCATAGGTGGATAAATTCGGGTTTTTGTTTATATATCAGCATTGAAAAAGAATACAATTTAATACTGGAAAGATTATTTCGAATTTAATCATGCATGACTACTGCCGAAGTAACCAGTAGAAAGTTTTTTATATCAACGAGGACAAATAACCAAGCGGCGCTGGCGGTGTAGTGGTAAGCGTGATTACCTCTCACCACAACAGGCCTGGGCTCAATCCCAGTTGGCGCCGCTGGGATGTTCTGAGGCATAACATCTTAAAGTAAGGTAAAACAATGGTTGCATTCTAAAATGCTGTTAGCTATCGATTTTCTACAGCTACAGGTTGTGCCCTCTCCAAAAATACCAATTCTGTAAGGTATTCAAAAGATGAAAAAAACAATTTTTGAGATAATTGCATATTCGTAATCTGCATTAAAAATGGAGCCTTTCAGCTTCTCTGGGCACATTCCAGTGGGTATCGTTGGACCTCTGATCTTCACCATCACGACTCGGTATGCGTCACCCCAGGGGTTGACATCAGCGGTCTCGACACAGCTCCTTAAAACAGTTTGACTTGCTCTGTTTTATTTCTCGTTTAAGTGCGACCCTGGCCGCTCGAAACATTCCTCTTCGTTCCTCTCTATTTGCTTCTGTTCTTGTTCTCTGAACACGTCTTCTGGCTCTGAGACAACTAGCGCGGAGGGTGCTAAGTTCCTCGTTCCACCAGTAAACTGGATGCCGTCTGTTCTTTGGCTCCAGTTTCCTCGGCATGGTCGTGTCACATGCTCTCACTAACGTTTCTGTCAGATCGTCCGCGTTCAGAACCATAGAGTTCCTGTCCACACGGAGTGCCTCAACGAAAAGATCCTTGTCGAAAGCGTTCGTCTTCCACTTCCGGTCACAAGTTCTCGTCCTCCGTACTGCCACAGTATTCCGTTGGCCGATGCCATATCGGATCGCCTTGATGGTCGGTATGCGTATATCCTTCGCACACTCTGCAATCCATTCCCGGCCATCTCTGCGAAAAGTGCTGCTGGTGCCTTCGTTGGCCAGCATAACTTCCAGTTTTGCCAGAGCTACCAGCAGACTGTGCCCTCTTGCATTCGAACATCTGCTTCCCAACTCCACTGCCAAGCATTGAAGTCTCCTCTGATGACTACCGGTCGTCGTCCGATCAGTTCTTTGGTAAGCCCATGCAGCATCTCATACACGAAACGAAAATCAATAATTTTATTCATGTGTTTCACTTATACATTTTTGCCGAAACATCAGCCTTATACATTCCGTAAGACAAACCACATAGATCCTATAAGAATGTATTGAAGGTATATGTGACCGCTTATACATTTCATTTGACACATGATCTTCATTAACTTTTTGCAAGGCGTCTGCTTATTAGTTGACTTATACTTTTTATGAATAATCAGCAATAGAAATTTGCCAAAAGGTATAAGGAGATTTCTATCCGTGTACTATCTTCGGTCCCAAGCTAATCGATTCACCCCTCGAAACATAGGAAAATCCACTAGCCCCTCATTTTATCTGTCAAACTTTCATAGCGAATCAAAACAACGTTAATCGTTTGCTTGGGACCAATAGGCTAGTCAAGTAGTGAGCCAATTTAAAATCGTTAGTTTCGAATTGATTGTTGGTAATACTGTGTCTTTACTGATTAGGCTATGAGGCCCCTATTATAAATAATTATTAAATGATGATTACGAAAGGTGATTTGTTTTTTTTTTACAGCGTGTAACTTTGTAACGTCATTCAGTTTTGCTGCTATTTCTGGAATAACTGCTTATGGATATCTGCACAATTATCACACTATGTCCGTTCCTTTTGAGTTGGATTACGGATCGTTAACGGCTAATGAGAATGATTTGCTGATATTTTTGGGTTTCTTCTTCATTGCAAACATTGCCATTCGCATAATGGTTAACCGTTACGTGTTGCGCGTATATCGTAGTGATGAAGAGTAAGTAGCATTGGAATATAAAATATAATTTCCAATTGATTGGTGGTTTTGTTTTTCAGTTACATCGCAATTTTCGAAGGGCACTTACCATTCACTCGAAAGCAGTTCAGTTTCAAGAAAGGAAGTGTTGAATCAGTACCAGAAGGTGGAATCGTACCATGGCAGGATGCTCGGTATATGATTAATGAAAAACCCGTTCTATTATTGGATAGCTATTTTCGAACTCCATCAGAGTTGTTTAATATGTTAAAAAAAGGTCCTCAGTGAATGTTTGTGAATAGGCATATTTAGTGTGATTTGAGTACATAGTTTTTCACATACACTGATATCACAGTCCTTAGGAATATTTCTCAAGTAAGATTTCCTGTTTTATTATTGTCCCCAACTCCATTATAAGTCTCATAAAGCCTTTCAAACCCATGATAAAACTTAAATTGATATTTGCATTGTAGCTTATTTTGGATGCTCTGTAGCGGTGCACGAAGCACGAGGGCACGCAATAACCTACAGCCTTAACTATTTGAATCACACGCTGCAAAACAAAACACCCACATTTTTCCGATTATGTTTTTTTATGGATTGCTGAAAAAAGTTCCTTATTATTCCACTACACAACGTTCTTTCTACGATTCTTGGTTCATGTGTTGTGAATATTGCTAATTCAGAGACTGATTAGCATTTGGCGTCAGATTATCAGCTTGCTGCGGCTGTAAGTTAACCCGGAAACTTCCAACTAGACTTTTACGGGATTTTTTATCATATTATAACCACTATAAAACGAGGTTGGTGATACATCTAAATCTCAATTCTAGATGCTCAACAAATCTCACACTAGCGAATCAATCTTCGAAAAATATTCTTTCGTTTCGCGCATAATTTTTTGCAGGAAATTTTCAGAATCGTCAACAGTCTTCTTTCTATCTACTCAGCGTGCGCACAGCTAACCACAGCAAAACAAATTTTTTCCTGCATCGTAGATAGAGTCAACTCCCTCGATTCCATGTGCTAAATGACGTTTGAGCAATTTTTAGTTTACATGGCGTGCAGATTAGTGGGGTACAAACTAAAAAGTATTCAGATTAAGAACGGTCAAATTACCCACACTGATAAAATTTCAAAGATTGTCTTTATGTGTCCCACATATCAATTTTTGCAATGTGATCAACAAATGATATCTATGGTCGGACACATACTTAATATGTGCACACATAAAAGCTATGTGTAACCACCTTTGATTTGGCTCATAAATTTCATGTGTGCTTCTGGGTGGATTATGTTTATGTGTGGTCACATGAAAATCATGTGGAATTTCACATGGAAATTCGTGAATAAAAATGTGTGGAATTTTATAACTGCAGGGTCCACGGCAGGGTTGCTTCCACTCACTTGTTATAAAACAATATTTTTCGGAATTATGCAATCATTAGATGTTATAATGATATGTTGTACTAGTAAGTAACAAGAAGAGGGTGTAAAGTATGTGTTTGACTCATAAAACCTGTCAATTTCGCTTTCAGAGCGTCACAATCAGCGATCTTATGATTCGTGAGCGTTCACTCAGAGTGAGCGCTCACGAGTCGTAAAATCGCTGATTGTGACGAACTGAAAGCAATATTGACAGATTTTATGTGTCAAACATATACTTCATGACCACTTCTTGTAACTTACAAGTACTTATTAGCATTATACTATTTCATGATTTCATAATTCCGAAAAACACTTTTTTATAGCAAATGAGTGGAAGTAACCCTGGTCCACGGTATAGTATATTTGCTGAATCCCAACTTAGAGTTAAACACCAGAGTACAGGCATGGCAATAGGCAGACTGGACAAGCCACCAACGAGTCAGCGATAATTGGCGTTGACGGCACCGTCGAAAAATTTTCTCTTCCAGCAAATGTAGACATTTTCTTATGGAAATTTTCGGTGAAATGAAAGGAAAGTGCAAAGTCCGCCATGTTTCACGCACAGTCTGAAGTTTGGATATGGATTTTATTATAGGAGTAAAGAGCTACAGAGTCTCCGTCAACGCCAATAGACCTTTTTAACGCACCACGAAAATAGAGTGCGCAAGGCGAGTACGAAAGGAAACGTCAATTAAACAGTTTGTTTACATCAGAATAAGGATTTTTCACAACGCAAGTTAATGCTTTTTTCATTGAAAATTTTACCAATTTCCATCGATATTGTTTTATTTTACGATTTTTCACAGAACTGAACTAGTTTGCACCTAAACTATTCACACACATGAATCCCGAAAGATCATAACCACAAAAGGCACTATTCAAATTTTCAATTTTTTTTTTCGAAATATATATATCACCAGAGATTGAATACGTCGCTTAGTTTATTTTAAAAAGGCGTATTGTCACGGACGTTCCAGAATGCGGAGTCAACAAACAGAATAAATTAGAAGACCAGTAGACATCGAACGAGTTCAGTTCGTTATTGTAATGTGCAGGGTGTACATCCAATTGGGAAAACGCGATATCCGGGAAAAAACCGAGAATTTGGATTTGCCGGGAAAAATGCGGGAGACCCTAAATCCACCGGGAATGATCATATATACGCATCCCAAGTAACAATTTTGGTTTTATCATAGTCTTGTAGGTCATAATTTGGTCTTGAAGAATCCTTCAAACCTTTATAAAACTTGCAATGATACTTGTAATCAATCAATTTTACATCATATACATAATAATATTATCTTGTTCACACATCTATTTACAACTTTTATATTTTGTATCAAAAATCAACAAAATTACAAAAACTCTATTAATTTCATTCACTCGCAATCTGTTTGGACACGGATAAAAAGGCCATTTTTTAGTTGTTCCTTCCACGTTCCTAGCTTACAGAGTAAATTATTAGAATTACTTTTGAAATAAACGTGTTTGAATTCATTTGCTACAGTTTTCCTAGTGTAGTAGTAAGCTCAACAGAAGCAGATTTATGCCAATTAAAAAAATGTCCGATCTCAAACTCCTTGCAAGCCCCATTATGCTAGGCATGTAAATGTTTGACACCGGATACAATCAACGAACGAAAAAAAAAATCATGAAATGAATGGTCCAGTGATAAATTAAAAATTGTTTCTTGCACTTTGTGCTAACCAGCATAAGATTAGTCAGAACATCGTAGAATACCTTGGATAGTCTGTAAAACATAAAGAACTGAAAGCATACCTCTCACGCTAATGTCATGAATTCAAAACTCATCAGGATAAGTCACGAATGATCCAAGAGTGTTAAAGTGCCTATGATAAAAAAGAAGATCTGAACTTCAGGTATTTTGGAAAACCTAATAAACCAAACAAATGATATTATGGGGCTTCACGAATTTTTTATCATTAAGTCGAATCATCGTATACCTCGTTGAGTATGCAGAACTTCAAGATCAGATATCCGGAATGATTTGGATAATCCAACAATGTTTTTTTCTTAACACAATTCAGGAACAACTTTCTTATGCCCTTTTCTCGCCACCCATATGACACCAACGCAAACCATCAACATTACCGGGTACGGCGACCCTCGGTCGGCGAGAAAATGTCCTACAAAGGTTTGTTTACAAAAAGCTTGCAAGCCCTTCTCACATGTGGCTCTTGAATTAATAATTTTAAATGATGTTTTGAGTCTCAGCGAAGCACAAAATTCCTAAAAATTCTGGGTGGAAATCAAACAAGATTTCAATTAACCTGTAGAATATCTCCAGTACAATTTGCAGAATGATAAATGTTTTGGTAACATATCTTTGTATCTCACAAAATGTTGTTTGACTTATAGAACTTCAAGATCTTAACTCCAGGAACATTTGAAGAACTTTTAATACTGCGTTTCTCCTGCTTTGGTGCCTTGTACTGATATATCCTATTTCTGACATACGAAAACTACATTTAGGCTCATGTTTTGCAGGAGGCTCTTAGATTTTATACGAATTCATGATTCCATGGGGTTTTGGAGATCTAGATGATCAACATGTTAATGTAATCATCTCATTTTTTTTCGAGTTTTTTTTTGTTCAAAGTAGACGTATTGTAGAACAATTCTGCAGAAAAAAATATATGATAATGTATAAACGGTTATTTTTAACGCCTTTTTTGTTTGGGTTGGTTTATTACTTAATAACCGGGAATTGAAAAATTGGATTTGAACGGACACCCAGAATGTGTTGAGTTCATTTAAGCTTGAGTTATTAAAAAGTGATATTTCAACTCGCATAAACGTGAACCATAACTTGACCTTACCGAAATTTGGGTATAATCCCTGCTAAACTTTAACTGAAATTGTTATGGAACTTTACATGAACGTTCGTGTGATAAAGTTTTAACCTTTTGTAATATAGTTTTTTTGGAAGTGGACCTTACAATTTTTAACCATTTTTGATAAGGTCAAGTAATGATTCGCATTTATGCGGGAAGCCAATCACGGCTCCGACAGCATAATTTTAGTTTACTCGTTTTTTAGTAGCTTCACTTTCGATCGATATGAGTAACCAACAAACACTGGAAGCAGAATAAGAGCTTATTCAGGCAAAATATGCTTCCCCAGCTAAAAAATGGCTTATTCAGCCTTTAATCAGCTGCAATTGTTTGTTGGGTTGACCCTACTCAAATTTGGTTAGGTTTGAAATAGCGTGCAGACCTTTTTGACGTTTAATAGTCTTTCTCTATCTAGCACACATAGATGAATGGACAGTTTGTTTTCCCACTAATTTGTTTCCCTCTTACTCGCACTCGTTCGATTTAAATGACACAGTAGTGTGCGCCGATTAAACGTCAAAAGGCTCTATAACTTGGTCTCTCGCGGCCATTTAGAATAACTCCTTAATGATGCAGATTTCAAAATTTTGCGCGGGTTAGTATTGATCAGTCCAAGAAGATTTGTCACACTCTTCTCTCACCCGTAAATTTTGACAGTTTTGGCTTGTTTTGGCTCTCATTCGTCGCTAGCTCTTTTACTCAGAGGTCTATTTTTTTTAGGCCTAGGGAAAATGCATAAATAACGTAGAATTTGAGGATGACCTGCCATGTAGAAAAATACGCTACACATATTATTCATTTGATTCAAATTTCATGTGTACTTCTGAGTGGATTCTGTTTATCATGTGGAATTTTAAATGGAAATTCACCGATAAAAATGTATCAAATTTTATGAGTGTAGGATTGATGAAGCACCAACTTTGGACCCCTTCCCCTAATAAAAAATACCATATCCGAAAGATAACCCAAATGACAGAACTATTCCACGAATCGTTTGGATGATATTCTGAACAAGTCGTTTTGCAAATTAACCATAAAATTTGTATTAGGATCTCCTTGTACACTGAAACAAAATCTATTGAAAAACAAACAAACTATATTGCAATTTCACAAGCCACATCACTGCCAATGCAATCAAGATAGGCGCTGCTTGATTGGCTCTGGCTTTGACAGTTTGTTTGGCTCAAAACCAGCCAGTCCGCTCCTCTCTTATACTTCTCTTGCCAAGACAGTTTGTTTTGAATCCGCTCCTCTCTTATACTAGACCCTCTCTAGTTCTAACTAGTTTTCAATCCGACGAGCTTTTCCGCTGCCGTTCCTCTTCCCCTGTCATTGCGCTTGGGCCTTTACAGTTGAACAAGAATACACAAGGCGGTACTGTCGTTTCCAACTATTTTATTCAATGGGACACCGTTTCTTTGTAATTCATTCAAAATACACACAAATCAATATTGAAAGATAACATTAACGAAGGTTTTGTCAAAACATCTAGTGGCATAATAAAATACCAAACGGAAAAGTACTATTTTTCACTGCACAATCTCAAACAATCACTACTGTTTGAGATTGTGCAGTGATTTGATTTCAATAGCACAAATTTCCATGGCAAGAAAAACAAGTATACAATGAATTCCGTGTGTGCCTCGGTGTGTGCTATCTGCTTCTCCCTCCCAGGGTGCAACTAAAACTTACTTTTGCGAAAATTCCACACGAATTGCAAAATTTTGACTTCCTGCACCTCGTTCAGCACTGTAGTGCCGAGATGAGTGGAAATACCTTACTTTTGGGAACTTTTTTCTCATCGTGTGGATGTAGCGTCATTTATGGATCTCCCCAATTGAAAATGGTTTGCAGTTTCAAAAGATTGTCGGAGTTCACAAAAATATGCGGTTAAGAGCCCTATTATTGGTACAATTTCGGTCTTGTAAGCTGGCCTTGCTAGCGGTTGCACTCATTAATATTATGTGTCAATGATCTTCGAGCATTGAGTCAATATCGGCATTATTAATCTTGATGTCAGGCAAACATTTGCACATCGTAGGTGTTAAGCAAGTACTAACGGCATTCGATAGATGCTAGACATGCAAATTTATATATTTGTTTACTTCTCGGATGCTGTAACACAAAGTTCGCGAGTAGATGCACTTTTGTCTCGGCTTTGAGTGTATTGTGGTAACATAAACTGCTTGTGTTTTTACGCATCAATCTGTTCAATCGATCCACGAGCGCGTTACAGACAGAGTCGCTTGTTTTTCCACCGTTTCCTAAATGCAGTACAGATCGAGTGTGTCCAGTAGATGTTCTCTGTTCCCACAGAAAAGTCCCCCTGGAGGACACCACCGGGCAAAACCTGCATTGCCTCGCCTGGGTAAGTCTACAGAAGGTTTCAATGTGGACTCTGGCTTTGAGACGTCTGAGTTTGACTTCATCGATTTTGCCGAGGATGTCTTCAATTGCACAGACCCGCATCCTCCGCAGTTGATTGCAGAAGCGGCCGCTCTTTTTGGACTTGTGGCCGGAACAGCTAATCGTAAGCATGTGAGTGCCGCTCATAACCGTTACAAACTAGTAGAAATACCCAGACGAAGTTTGAACCCGTTCCATACTGGCAGATATCAGCGTCGTAGGAATCGAAGTCGAGTGTAAGTACCTACCAAATTTTAGTTATGTCATTGTAGATAGTAGCTAGTTGTATTCACTGGGTGGGAAAAATCGATGTAAATTGCAGGATTCTGATAAACCTCTAATAGCCTTGACATATAAACTAGTGCAAGTAGGATAAGATAGAGTGCAGTTTAGCCCGTTTAGCCCATAATCAGGGCTGGCAGTCACATATGTATGGTGATGTTAGTGTGGTATTGGGTTGTATTAGGCAATCAGGTCTATTCTGAGAGTCATGTGACTCTCTGTCACTGTTAAGGTTGCAAAAGTCACGTCGTATGAGCTGACTTCCATTTGATTTACACGGAGAGTCACCTCATATGATGTGACTTTTGTCACCTTACTGGTGACATAGAGTCATAAGACTCGCAGAATAGGGGTGAATGTATTATTTTCACATGAGACCATAAATAGCGGGAAACATTCAGATTGGTAGCATGTAGTTAGGTAAAGGCATGTTGTTTGGATACTGCACTCGTCACTAAAGTTCATAGTTTTTTTTAGACATAATGAAGAATAATATAGGTAATACATGGGAGGATCATAACCAGACATGCTTTGAATATTGATGAGGATTGATACGTAGCATGAAGCGTTGTGTTTTAATGCAGTTAAATTGAACTGCCCTAGATAATCAATATAATTGCATTGCAAAAACAAACAGTTTTTGGCCTGTTCACATTCCACGTGGATTGGTTTTGAGATGTTTAAAAACCTCGCTTCCCCTCGTTCTACGTAAACAATCATCCATACATTTATTTTTATTCGTTAGGACCGTGGACATTTACTCTTAATCTGCCCACTTATACATCATTTTGAGCATTCTGCTACATTTAATTAAAAAAACAAATGTTTAAAACTGTCTTTTATCAGAGTACATCCTTTTGAATTAGGCACTTAATCGTAGATTGTTTGTTCACTCACCGTTCGCTGGAATGAAATGAGTCAATTATTTAAAGTTTTTGTTTTAGGAATTGCTGGTTGCTTGTAGCTTATAGGTAAGCTGATGGCATGCGAAATTTATTTTCTTTCCGGTACTGTTTGTCTGTCATTCACAGATCAGCACGTGTTTGCTGGTTTGCTTTTCAATGCGGGCCGGGTCACTTTTGTTTTTCAGTCACATGAGAATCTAGAGCAGCTTCAAATGCGGGGAAATTAAACGCCTTTTGAAGAGTAAGAATGGTGCTGACAATTGTCATGTTTAACACATGGTGAGTTATTTTTTATCATAGAACCATGGTTGATTTTTATTAAAATGAATTAAATCCTTTTTTCGACGTTCTTTTTTTTTTGTTGCCGTTCGGATTGGACCCGGAATAGGTTGAAAAATAATGTAATGTTTTTCTTTATGAACGGGTTCACTCATAAAACACTTTTAATGGTACATACTAAGAACTTCCCAAATATCAAGGTATATATAGATAAGAATTTGACGGCTCTCTTATGGGCGTTGGATGATCTGAAAAACCAAGAATACTTACGAATCAACTTCAAGATACATATCTATTGGATTACTTAATTTTTTTTCTTTATTATAGAGATTTTTAGCCATATGGCTAGTTCATCTCTTACGTGTACTTAAAGATATTTGATAGCTATTGCGTACATTTGATTAAACTGTGTTTTATGAAGCATTTTTTGCTAAAAACATATCTCACGTAACAGGAACAGATAATGCGAATGTCCCTAAAAATATACCATTGCAATTCTGCACAATATATTTTGTAAACTAGTTCTCCTTTTCGTAATTTATTCCGTGAATCGGGGGCAATTGATCGAACAAACTGTTGAACATAATCTTTGTGTTTTTCGGAAATTTATTAATGCAGGATTAGATTATTCAACGTTTTAACATTATTGCTGAAAAAGTTCTTTGTAAAATCATTGATAAATTTACATTTCTATGAACTTCTCACTTTTATGGACGACAATAAACATATTTTCCACACATTTGAAAAATATTAATAAGCTGTGATAACACCAACTCACATTCTGCACACATTCTATAGGTATTTTTTTTATACATTTACAGCAATAACTGTTGGATCATGCCAAAAAGAACAATTAAAAAAGTTGTGATCAATGTCGCCTCAAAGTAGTATTTTAAATATTTTTGGATAACAATTAAGGCTACTAATAGTTTTCATAACAATTTCTACAATCACGCGGTTTTAAGAGATGAACTAGCCTATGGCTAAAAATCTCTCAAATAAAAAAAAAAAAAAAAAAAAAACAATCACGCGGAGGCGGCGGGTCTCGGTCAAGTCTACAAAAATGTTTCGGGATGGTATCATTGTGCTTGTATCCGTTATGTGCGCGACGGAGTAGCCGGGTACCCAGCGCCCATTTGAATAACACGGTGTAGAAAAAAGTAAAAAAAAATCCTCGCGCGCATAAGGAGTATGTATGTATGTAAAGCACAGCCATTAGACAGTGGATCCACTAAAGTCCTCCAAGTATGACTTGATCAAGTTCGACACCTGCCTGTATTCATATTAACACAAAAACGGAGGGACGGACCCGTAAGCAGAGACTTACGCAAAATCGGTGGGATCAGGAGAATCTCCTTCCAATGATAAAATCCTACAACCAGATGTTGAACAAGCCATCAGTCGAGGGGACGTCCCAATAAGTGGGGAGAAGAGCCTGCCGTCAATTCACGAAATTTTAATGACATGGAGTTGGCAATTCCACTCTCCCCATCCATATCGCTTCAATCCGGTGCCCTGATGTTCCTATTTGTCGTGACCGGACCGAGGACCTAGTAAATTGGTAAATTGAGATGTTCAATCAGTGGCATAAAAAACGAGTTAAAATCTCGACGTTTCATGCATTTCTAAGTCCTTCGGCATAAAACAACAGTTTCTGAAATTTTGTTACGGTTCAGAAAGTCGATTCTCGATAAAAAAATATGTTTAGTTAACACTAGATCTCGACGTTTCATGTATTTTTAAGACATTTAATATCCAAAAACAAATTCGGTTTCCGAAATTTTATGGGATATTTTTTAGTTTAAAAAATTTCAAACTTTGACCGCTTTACGGCACCCCGAAAGCATGTCTGATTGAGCCCAAATTTTGTATAGGAGCCTTTTTCGAGGCTATGTACATTTTGTATATGGTTTGTTAAAAAAACACAATATATACAGCATAACATGAACATAACACTGCGCAAGCTGTTCGTCGTTCATTAATTTAACGATTGGTTACTTTTGATAGTTGGTAGTGTAGCCACCGGTGGCGTTCATAGTCAGTTGCTGTAGAGTTTGAGGATAGAAAACGATGTTTTTGTTCGACAATATTCAGAGTGTTTATGTCTATTTGTTTGTGGCGCTCAAACCTTGTGTATTTTCAGAGTTGGTTGGTGCTATAACTTGTAGCTTTTAGTGTGATAATTTATTTGCTAGAACAAGGTCTGAAGAGGGTAGGTTGATAGTTCCGCTAGAGTACGGCAGTATGAAAATTGATTAGAAGTTGAAAAAGAACGAAGAGCCATTAATGCGACAGTACTAATCAAACTCCTTTACCTAACTCATACATGAGTGGATGAGGAGACTTGATGTATTTTTTTTTCAAATCTACAGGCAAAAGATTGCGCGTTTTACTTGCTCATATACGTCTGCGGCTAGAGACGTTTCATCACTATCTAAAGCCCCACGTTGCCGAAAGCATTTCCAGCGAGATTTCCAGTCAATGATGTGTTATAATCAACCTTGATGGAGCCTTGCTCGCGAGATTGAAATGAGCCGAGCGTAGCATTTCTCTGGGGAGTAGAATGCCTACTGCCAAGTCATTCCACTGAGCTTTAGAGCTTGTGAGCGAAGGGGGATAACATAACAGTCAGGTTTGCTGCCATTCATGTTCATGTTTTCTATCACACACTCTTACTCTCACTCTGGGTGTACACTGAGCTTCTTGCGTCAAATGAAAAATTCATCTGGAGTTTTGAAAAGCGCAATTCACGTCAAATCATCCTCTTGCTGAAGTTCACTCTACCTCTCTCTCGAGGAGTTTTTGTTTACTTCTTCCATATTCATGCCACCACTTCCTTGAGGACAAGAGTTTTTTAAACCCTCCAGTGAGTTTGAGGAGTTTCAGCAAGCCTAGTTATAATGCAATTCTTCTTTACCCAACTATTGAGTTGCTCCTCTCGTCATGACCAACTTAGTCATCTCAGAGAGGTAGCAGTAGGATGGTTGTTGCGTGCTTTACCATCATCAGCATTGTTGACGGTTACTCCCGCCTTGAGTTGTTACATTCAAAGTATTGTCATGTTACTTCATACGTGAAGTTTTCGATTTTCAAAGTTGGTTGGAAATGCTATATAACATGAAGCTTGTATATTTGTTCCTTATCGGAACAGTTTAGACTTTTTTTTTCGCCCTTAAGGGCACCTTCCTGAGTTTGGATGGTCAAAAAAAAATGACATTTATATCTATGTAACCCAAAAATTCCTAACTTTTGAACAAGGAAAATTTTTAAAAATTATAACGGCCAAAGAAGTTTTAACATATTAAAACATGAAAAAACCTTTTTGAATAGATTTCACAGTGCGACGTCCAAAAAGATCGTAGATTTTTTATATTTTTTTCTGATAAGCTCATACTTTTTTACTTATGATATCAAACATCGAGAATGGAGTTTATTTTGTTTTTGAAATATATATATTTTTTTTTAAAACATCAAGTCTTATGTTTTTGCCTCAAAACTATCATGCGTCTCCATTGGTTTGAAGTGACTGGACTGCCATGTCTGCATTAATTAATTAAAACAAATGTATTGTATTTTTTCGTTGAAGCTTAGACCTTCGTGCATAACATACTGAAAATTCAAGAATGTTGTTCTACCTGTTTACGAGCTACCGTAAACCGGCATAATTCTGCACACTACCTAATTACGCGCATTTGGAACAAAACGAAAGATTTGTGTCAATCAAATGCTAAATTGATTCTAATTCATTACGAGTTCCATTGTTTGTGGTT